TGGTTAAATCGTGTACTTTATTATTCATCTATGTTCCCATACGTTTAAAGGATGTATTTGGTGTTGCTCACTACTGAAATATATCAAATGATCTTTACCACTGGACAGTGATAGCTTACTGTAGAAAATGTTCAGATTTAGTGTATATCTGGAAGATTTAGAGAACATGAAATGTGAATTGGATTCATTCTACAGTATTTATTGTTCTCACTTTACGAAAATTTCTAAAGGGAACTGATTATATCAAACTGTATTTTAATGTTAATTAGCAAAACATGAGAATGAGACATTATATAAAAATACGCTACAATTCAGAGTACAATTTGAAGATAGACTGTAAACAATTAGAGCAGGAAGATGTGAAAGAGAGCAAACTGATTGAATATATTCGTTGGAAACGTTTTGGTCAATTAGATTAAAGCTAGTAACCGTCTTACGAGAAGTCTACCTCAGTATGGATAAACGCAGTCTACAGGACATAAGATCAAGAAGGGGAGTAGATGTAAGTTCACATCTTTCACTGTCTACTGCAAGGAAACTAACTTCAACATCAAGTTGAAAGCCTTCAAAGAAGTTGGTGATAGATGACACAGTTCAAGTTCAACACCCTGAAGGGCGAAACTACGAACGGCATCTTCGTGTCAACCAGTCATGAGGACAAAATGGGAGATATTTAGCAACATCCCTGAAGAAACATGCATGGAAGGACTCTGGAACTGTTTGAAAGGGACATGGAAGGAAACCTGTATAACCGTGTCAAGAAGGATAAAGGAAGAAACAACACAAGGAATGGATCTCGAAGGACACATGGAGAAGGGAGAGGAAGATGGTAATGGGAAAGCAGAAGATGAAGCAGTGCAGTACAGTGCAAGGATGAACAACGAGAAGAGGAACCGAACACAATCTATAGAACGCTACACTGGATAAAGAAGTGAAGAAGAGTTCACTGAAGGACAAAAGACACTCCTACAACACACTTGCAAGCCGAGTTTTTCTCTCGATTTCTTATCTTATTAGGATCTACTAATCTTGATTTAGCTAAGTTTTTGTGCTGTGTTATTCTAATCCACCCTGATTGACTGCTTTCACCTATGTACTTGACTTCGCAATCATCGCGAGAGATTTGGTAAACTAGATTATTTTGTTTAATTACTTGTTTCTAAGCGAGTTTGCTGGTTTAATTGTCACGTTAATCCCAACCAGCGTTATTGAAAATTCTTCGTAGTGTTTGTGAGGTGCCTTCCTTGTATGGTAACACAGCAGAGGCTTTAAATTCTCTTTTAACCCTGTCACCATTATTACCATTAGTAGTGGAATTATTGCCAATAACAGCTGTACTACTACTATTATTATTATTATTATTTCATTATTTATTTGTCCCTTGGATTCCTGATGGAACATAGGACTTCCGTAGGACGTCTCTAGTGCACTCTGTTCTCTGCAAACTTTTGAACCTGGTTCCACGACTGCCCACAAGTTCTCATTTCTTCCTCGCACGATGTCTCCCATGTCACCCTCGGATGCCCAACTCTTCGCTTTCCATCTGGGTTCCACTTGAGTGCCTGGCCTGGCGCGTGATGTCCCCGAATGGTCTTCTCAGTGCATGCCCAATCCATCTACACTTCCTTCCAGTGCATATTTGTTGAGCGATAGTTTCTTGCTTGGTTCGTTGCCAGAGTTCTTTGTTGCTGATCCTTGTTATTCTGGCCATCTGAGCTTCAGTAACGAGACAGCGTAGGCAGTTGTTGATGAATATATGTAGTTTGTTGGAAATCCCTTTCGTAACGCACCAAGTCTCTGAACCATCACATAGAAGCACTGACTTGACTAGGTTGGTGTTGAAAATCCGGATCTTGTTCCACATGCTGAGTGCAGTGTAGTAGATCTCCACACTGGTTTCAGGCTAATGATACTGATATTTTCTTTCGATTTCCTATGAATTTATTTATAAGCTTAAGTGGATAATCATTGAGATGTAGGGTATTCTTCATGTGTCTAGTTTCTTTTCATAGATTTTCCAATCTACTAGTGTAAACTTTTTCGCCCTATCACTTAGGCATTTAACTCAGCCTACTTTAAGTGAGATGATTTGAAGTCTGAGTAACAATTTGAATGAGAAGGTTTTCTACAGACAATGCTAGTCTCTAAACTTTCAACTTATTTTCGTTTAATCTTGCAATTCAACATTACTAGCTCATATTCTAAGTCACAAGTGAATTGGTTTGGATTCATTACTGAATTTATGTCTGTCAGAGATTGATGATCACCGAATCTTTGTGTATCGAATCAATATCAAATACATACAGTAATAGAAATGATTCTACACCTATCCCACATATATGAAACATTCTACTACCTTTTTCATCACAAAGAAGAAGAGAAGATTAGGACTATATAAAGTCTGTCTCGAAGTTGTGGAGTCAGTTACCTGCTGATATGAATATCGATAATAAATTGTGTCCAAAACGTTGTTATCCAGTAAATGATATTGTCCATTCAGTGTGTGTGTGTGTGTGTGTGTGTGTGTGTGACATTTCTAATAAACAGATTAAGATGGAAGGAATTACAATCGACCACAGTGCTGAAGTTTTACTCCTAGATTAACTTGCTGATATCTATCCCAGTAACTGAAGACACATGAACTACGATAAATTGAGTTGAAACCAGGATTTGAACCAACTCACCGGTTAGTTTTTATAGATTCTTCATCTACAATTAACTATATTTTCCCTTTAAGAAAATATTATCAGTTTTATTGGTAAATATTTTCTGATCGCAGGACATTTGGCTTTGCATTTATATATTTCCTCGCCAGTGGAAATAACTTCGCTAGCGTCACCTATGCTGATTCCTGGCGATTCATAATATTAAAATTATCTCACGTTTACAGAGATTCCGTATACTAGTTACCTTAATCCTTATCCTTTTTCCGTCGAATTGATCAGAGGACTTTCGAATTTATTGCCTACCACCTGTTGTTATTCCTCATTAATCCCTTTTTTCTTTCTCCGATCAATGCAGACGTCCGGAACGCCATAAAGCTGTTCAAATCCGGGAAAGCAGTAGGACTAAATGGAATTCTGTCAGAAGCACTGAAAACAGACATAGAGACAACAGCGGACATGCTCACAGCACTATTGTAGAAAATTTTCAGTGGAAGGAATGAAAGGTACCTGCAGATTGAAAGAAAAGCTACCTTGTCAAAATCCCAAACAATGGAGGCTTACGTTTTTGTAAGAACTGACACGGAATCATGCTCCTATCCTTATCCACCCCAAGTAAAATATTATGCTGCATCATCCTAGAAAGATTAAAAGATGCACTGGATTCAAAATTACGACCGGAACCGACTGGATGGATTCGCTTCAGTAAAAGCAATTCATGTGCGGATCAAATTGCAACGCCACTCTACCCATCATCATAGAACAGAGTATAGAATAGCAGTCAACTCTCTACCTCAATTTTATCGACTTTGAAAAGACCTTCGACAGCCTCGACCAACAAGTAATTTGGCAGTTGCTTCAACGCTATGGTTTTACTGACACAAACCTTTATCAATCTCATTCAACAGGTATATGAAAACGCCACATGCCAAGTGATCCACAAAGGAAAGCTCAGTGACGCTTTTGAAGTGAAGACAGGGGACAGGAGTAGGACAAGGTTGTCGCCTACTAACACCGATCATCCTCCTGGTTGTGGTCAACTGGATTATGCAACAAACTGTGAGGAGCGAGAAGACGGGCATACGCTGTCTGTTTCACAGATGAAAACACCCTACACGATTTGGATTTCGACGACGATGATTTACATCCAATGTGTTGTCGCACAAACTCGAAGATCTACAGGCGAAAACTAACAAGTTGACAGAAGAGTCAGGACAGCGAAAACGGGACTTCAAGTGAATGTAGAGAAAACGAAGGTGATGAACATTCCCCAACCAACAACAATAACACGAATCATTATTAACGGGAGAAATCTGAAGAAAGTTGTCTCTTTCACCTACCTATCTAGACAGCATCCTCTCAACTATAGGCAGCAAAGGCACAGACGAGGATGTCAAAGCTAGCATGGTAAACAGAGCAACACGGGCCTTTATTAATTTGAAATCGGTGTGAAGATCTACTACACTCAGAATAAAGAAGAAGATGCGGATTTTCAACACCAACGTCAAGTTGGTGATTCTATATGGTTCAGAAACTTGGCATGTTGTGAGAAGCATTCCCAACAAACTACAGACATCATATATCAACAGCTATCTACTCTCGAGACTTAAGATCACATGGCCAGAATAATAAGAATAAGCGACAAGGAACTCTGGCAACTAAGCAACCAAGAACCCATTGCGCAACAAACATGTAGAAGAAGGTGGAGATGGGTTGGGTGGACACTGAGAAAGTCATTTCGGAGACATCACACATCAGGTCGTCAAGCAGAACCCAAAGGGAGACGACAAGTTGGACGTCTGAGGCGAGGGTAACATGGAGGAGATTATGTAAGGAGGAAATGAAAGCCTGTGGGCAATCATTGAGCGAGGCTCAAAAGACTGTAGAGGACAGAGTGCTACTGAAGCCCTTTTTCTTTCAGATCAATCTTTTCTCTGTCTTACAATTATCCGGAACTACCAGTCGGTATTTATGCTTTTATGTGTATTCAAGAAGCATAGGATGTTTCTATATCAAGTACGTTAGTACCTAAAAGTTACACAAAAGTGTGGTTAGTAACTTGAAATGTAGTGAGTTTCTGCTACAACCCCATGAACTATCCAAGCTGTAAGATTAAGTTACTTTTGACTATATCCAGTTTTGCGTCTTTCTGCTTGTAAAGCACTTCTAATGCTCTTTATGATGTTGAATTTAAATGTGTACCCATTTTACCGTAGAATGTACTTCGTTATACTACTCATTTTATTTTTAAGTAGTTTGACAGATTTTACGCAATTATTACATAAGGCAGATTCAACTTTATGTTTCGTAAAATACCATTAGAAAATAACTACGAGATTCCAATCTAGAATATAAATTTATTCATTTTTGAAGAGGTGAAGCAGGAAAAAAAAAATAAACTGACACACATCCCAATGGACAAAACATTAGAAGGAATGGAAGACAAAAACACATTCAATGTATACACACAATACAGATAATGGAAAAAGGAAGCATACAATAAAGTATATACTGAATGATGAATGAACTGTTCGATTGAAATGCTTTATATTATCATCGACAGTGTATATTGTAGCTGAGCTGTTTGTATAGCTCAAAATCTAATTCAAGTAATGATGGATCACTTGAATAGTATCCATGAATGTAAAGTTCAGTTGTATATGTGTGTGTGTGTTTATGCGCTAACACTTTCCTAGAAAAACATTTCATGCGGTCTATCATACTTTCCAATAGAGAATAAAGATTTCAAGTAAGCAATTAATATTTTAGAATCTGTATGCAATTTAATTGCTTTCTTAACCTCATCATCTATATAAATTTGATCTGATTTCTTTTCATTACTTGGTGTATAGATAGGTGTATGATTTTTATCCCCTTGTTCAAGTATATCTTTAAAGTGTTTTTCCCTATCAAATTTATGTGATTTTATTGATGTAGATCTACGAAAGTAATCTTTTCCATGAATTCGTTTAGGAAGGGATAACTGTACGTACAATGAAATAAAACAAAACAATAATATATATATATTGATATTATATATTATAGAACAGAAAAACCTATTGCTATTGCTTGTATATGATTTCATACTCCTTGCATCTTCATCAACTTTACACTTGTTGTATTGAAGGATTTTATTGTGAAGACAAGGTGATCAGTGTCCGACAATAACAATGATTAAGATGTTACTATTGAAGGGTTATTCTACTCCCTAACAGAATCTGTAGGATGTAGATGAAGTAAACTGTACGATAGAAATCTACAGGGCACTATTCTAAATACATCATCATTCATCTCAACCGATCACATTGTTAATAGATGGAATCTGAACACTACCTAAAGCTGAGTAATACAACAACATGATTTTTTTACGGAGGACTGGATAGAGTCAATCGGATTAGGCAGAAACTACAGAGCCTGAAGTTCACGGTTTCAACCCCTGCCGGGGTCGTGGATGCTCACCGTTGAAGACGATGAAACAGCTGTCCGGTGCTCCCAGGTTTCCAATGTTCTTCCAACTGATGTCACTCCATAATGAATACCAACTAGTAAAAATCTTTAAATCTCCACAAATCCCCAAATTCAATTAACCTAGTACTCATTGGTGACTAGCTTCGAAAGGTAATTCCTGAAGTTCCAATGAAAAGTCGTGACCAATGGGGCAAACCTGGTGGCCATGAAGACAAATACTCAATGATGACATTGCGTGGTGGTCGCGCTATGTCGTGAACCGACAGAAGTGAGAAATATGGGCCAGTTGTTCAATGGTAACGTGCTGGCCACGGAGCCTGAAAGTTGTGAGTCCGAACTCCTGGACGTGGGCGTGAATCCGTACTGCTGAAGAGTTCCACACTGCGACGACACAGCTACCCAGTGCTCCCAGGTTTACAATGTTCCTCTATCTGATGTCAGTCCATGATGAATATCAACTGGAAAAAACTATTTCGCTCACAGTATCAATATCATTGATATAACGATCAACGACTGTGTGAATAGTTTGTGCCTAGGAAAGTTAGTCTGTCCGTAGATAATATCTCCTCTGTTAGTCGTTCTATATAATCGCTGAAAGGTCTCCTCTCAGCTATTTCATTCTCAATGCTGAACAATCTTGTGTTACAATTTAATAGTCAAAAAGTCGTTTCGCAACAGAAATACTGTGAATACACGAGTGTGATGAATAGTTAAGATTAATCAGAGTATGACTTGGGTTGTATAAAGATTACTACGTTTAGACAAAAAGTTTTGTGACATAACAATAGTGGTTGGAGACTGTAGATGATATGACTGAGAACTGATGTCATTGGCGCAGATGTATCCCCACACACATTATCCTCATCTGAATGGCTATACTTAAATCTCATCATCTCATTCCTCCTTCCTTTTTTTTTACTACTTCCTACTTCTTTTGGTCGGTTTATCCTTTCTTCTTACATGTTCGTTGGTTGGAGGCAATCAGTAAGAAGCCCTGGACCTAGGTTTCATGCGTTTTGGTACTCGTTAGCAAGGAGTATCTGAAACCTCGACGGAACTGATGTCCTGCCTGAGATTCTAATCTGCGTCATCCAGTGTTGTAGTCAGCGATCTTACCACTGAGCTATTCGGGCCACAACTGACCTCCTGTAGGACTGGCTTACATGTATTGATTGGTGACGGGAGTACAACCAATTTCATGTTGTCTAGTCCTCAGTGCAGACCAAATTCTATCGATCATATTTGCAATGCGGCAACCAAGCTAGGAAGCTCAGCATCGCAGTGTACATCTTCATCTTCTATTTTATTGCCTTGTTACTTCATGCGCTGATATGAGATGTGCAAGTATGATCATTACACAATAATGTATGCTTCAATGTAGATCTTATCTATCAATACTGAGATCATAAGGCTTTCAATAAGGAAGTTTTTCTCGAAACTGTCGTGATTGAAAGGAGTCTTGCAGAACTAAAGAGATGGAAAGACATTTGGTAGTTAAAGGGTATGGAATCTGTACTTAGTACCACTATTAATTTCTAGCTCAGGAAGATCATTTTGATGAGGTTTATCTTTCTCAGCTGGATTACTTAATGGTGGAGCTTTCATTGTCATTCTAAACACAACATCATCAGCACAAACTTCACAAAGAAGTGACCAATAAGGTTTACTGCACAATTTATTTAGTAGCTTGTCTTGATGGCTTTGTATGTGACTGGTTGTCTCTGCCAAGGTCTTGTCATCATCCCTATGTTTATTTTGATTGGTTATCCTGATAACCTAAAATTTGACCTTGCTGTTTACTATTGGTTGATAGGTTGGGTCAATGTCAATATGTCTCTTGACTGGTGACTAACCTGAATGCTAAGCTTCTAGAAATCCACTGGTATTCTTTGTATTTCGTCTATCTACTCAGGATTTTCACATTTCTCCAGTCAAAATCATGTCCACAGTCGTCCTCGTCAATTAATATGAGCCAAGATATGTCATGACGCTTCACTTCTAGTTGACGTTCATGTAGATGGATAGGAAGTGGGTGACCACTCCTTGTGACGTAGAAACAACTGAAGGTCAAATTTCAGGTGGTCAGGACAACATAAAGACAATGACAAAAGTTTCGCAGAAGCAACCAACCACACGCAAGGTCATCAGAAAACACTACCAAATGAACTGCAAAGAAAACCTTATTGCTCATTTCTTTGAGAAGTTTGCGCAGCTGATGTTGTCTAAAATGACAATGAAAGCTCCACGATTAAATTACTCATCTCAGAGAAGTTCTTCGGGAGTTATAAAAGTGTCTCTCAGCAGGTAATAGCACTGAAATCAAAGGTCTCTAGACTTTCAAACAATAGAGTGTGTCCTTTTTTTCAAGGATAATTAACAAACATTTTGAAATGGAAAAAATTTAAGAAATCTTCATCACACTACTGAAACTAAATGATAGTAGCATAACGGTTTCATAAAACGTTTTTTTCAAAAATACTTATTACGGTCAAGTGAGCGACCACCGATTAAAATTTTGGACGAGAGTTAGACTATATCAACCTCCTGAAGTATTCTTATTCCGACATTCTAAAATGTATTCTGATTATGTTGTATGGAGGTGTTCCTTTTACCAAATAAGCTTACTTTTCTGGCTTACAGACAATTTCTAACTTCATTGGTGACGTCGAAAATAAAGTTTGAACTATTCAAAATAGATCATCAAGGAACAAAGTGATTTCAGTTATGTGACTTCAATCAGTCGATAATTATGCAGCAGTAGTAGGGTGCAGCTTTCAGGAAGTTGTATAAAGTAAAACCAAATATTATATTTGATAATGTACCGGATAGGCATGTTGAGATAAAGTTTTGTGGGTAGGCGTTCTTCTTTAGGATGGACATCAAGTAATTTTCATCGTTTCTCTGTGAAGTCGTTGTACTAGTCTATGCAAGTCACCTAGGAAGATTCAGGTGATCTGAACTAATTCGACTCGATGAGCTGAATTTGTCCAGGTACACCAGTGATGCCCTTCCAACCTAAAGGGGAGAGACAGCCACTCGGTGTTTAGATTATTCTTATTTGGATGGCGAAATCTGGAGATCACCCTGACTGCCTTCTAATTACTCAACTCCTTCAGTAGTATATTATTCCAGTGACCTATCTATTTGATTCACTCATGACCTAATTAACCTAATGATACAATCTGTAACTTCATCGCTGACTATTACAAAGTTTCGAATTCCTACGAGAACATGACTTTAATTATGAAGATGAAGTCACCCGACTGGTGAGTTGTCAATAGTCAATTAAGGTTCACAACTGGATCAGATTACTTGTATTGGGTACCCTCTTCGGGGATCTACGCCTAACCTATCTGTACACTCCTCACATGCTGATTTGTCTAAACACCAGCGATGCTTTGAAGTCACAACTATGGTGAGATAGTCACTAGAAGATTTCTCAGATCCTTTATCTTGAATGATTAGGCTGCGAGGTATTCCTGAGAATCATAACAACCAATCAGAGCTTCAATGGCTCCAATGGCGTTGATAGGTGTTGTTCATCATGGTCTATCAGTCATTTACAAGTTCAGTACTCTCAGTCAACATTATTAGGTAGCGAATGACTGAGGTTACGTACGTTACGTGAATGACTAACTAACTAACCTTTTAGAGTCACATCGAAACTGCCAACTACCTTAATGCAGAGATCATTAACGGCGGTAGGCATAATGATACCTCTGAAATCAATAACTTATCGGTGCATTACTCTTCAGTGAAGAATACTTATTAGGCTGATTGGATAAAACAAATATGCCTGTAAACCGATATTCAGTAAATAATTTTTAATCGTCCAATGTCTAATTTTTATTGACTAAACTGAACCTTCCACATTGTTACGATCGACTTGATTATGGTTAGTATTGGGATTCAAGATGTTGGTTTCATCTTGTTAGGGGACTCATTCGTCGTACCACACACACACACAGACTGATTCTGTCTATTTATTTCTTTGTTATCTAAAGCTGAACGCGACATGTTTCCACATAAAAATGGATGTATCTGCTCTAGTAAACGGATACAAATTGCAAAATAAACGAAACATATTTCTATCGACAAAGGAATAGTTAAACTGTACTCGTTTTTTATGCGGATACAGTTCGCATTTTGTGAAGAATAGAAGATATTAAGATATTAAGAAAAGTTACAATGCTATCTGGAGAGGTTTGTGGAGATTTATTGATCGATTTTTGCCGAAAATTTATCATAGACTAGTAGGGAACTGTTCAGCAGTGCACACCCATGACCCTACCAAGGGTCGATCCCAGGATAGAAGTGAGAGATGTGAACCATTGGATTCTAACCCAGTGTTTCAATAGCAACGTCATGGCCATGGGTTCGATATCCGGCGGGGTCATGGGTGCGCACTGCTGAGGAGTCCCATATTGAGACGAAAGAGCTGTCCAGTGCTACCAGGTTTCCAATGTTCCTCCAACTGATGTCAGTTCATGGTGAATTCCAACCTAAGAAAGTTGC